CCCCAAAACCCCAAAACCCCAAAACCCCAAAACCCCAAAACCCCAAAACCCCTTTGAACTCCAATAAATTTAATTTTGAATAAATAAATGGCCGACAACAAGCAGAAGGAAATTGAGGACTTGAAGAAAAAGTTGACTCCCATTCTCGAGAAGATGATAGGTATTCTCCAGCCATAACATCTAGGCCACTTAATTGTGATCAAGCCCGAAGACCCAGTCGCTTACATGCTCCATTTCCTTGAAAAGCAGATCGGAAAGGGTTCCAAGAAACTCACTCCTGATGAGAGAGTTGAGCTCGGCGATTTAAGAGCGCTCCAAGAATATTTTTCAAAGAAACTCAAATAAGCTCGAAGAGCGACAGAGAATGGCAGAAGACTCCGAAGGAGAAGACTACGCCGAAGGCGAAGAAGATGCCCATAGTGAAGATGGAAGTCGGCCTCCCACCCACAGCAACGACAGCTCCGATGATGAGTGTGATGAGTTTGTGGGAGATCTCCCAGCTCCGCTTAAAGCACCTCCAAAGTTCAGGAAGTCAGTCAGCGCAGAAGCTTATGGGCTCTATAACAAAAAGGGATATTTCAACGCCAGAACTATTGACAAAGACAGTGGGACCAAAGCCAAAATTAAAGAGAGACTTCTCCAGTCCTTCATGTTCAGTGCTCTTGAAGAAAATGACCTAGGCATTGTAATTGACTCAATGGAAGAAAAAGTATTCAACAGAAATGACTCGGTCATCGAGCAAAGCGCAGACGGAGACGAACTCTATGTTGTCGGGGAAGGTAGACTTCACTGATATCGAACCGAAAAAGGAGAAACAAACCTCATTAAAACTTACGGACCCGGAGACTACTTCGGTGAGCTTGCACTGCTTTACAACGCTCCAAGAGCAGCCACAATCAAAGCTTGCAGAAACAATGTTGTGCTTTACTCTCTCGACAGGCTGACATTCAACCACATTGTCAAAGACGCAGCCATGAAGCGGAGAGAAAGGTACGAAGAAATCTTAAGGAAAGTCAAAGTATTGGACAGTCTTGACAGTGCTGAAAGACACAAACTCATCGACTCTATCTCAGAAGTCAAGTTTGGGTCTGGTGAATACATCATCAAGCAAGGAGAACTTGGCAACAAATTCTACTTTATCATGGAAGGAAAAGCTAGAGCCGAGAAGACTATCAAAAATGAAGAGCCCATCAAAGTCAAAGACTATGAGCCAGGAGACTATTTTGGAGAAGTCTCTCTGCTCAAAGACCAGCCAAGAGCTGCAAGCATCATCGCAGAGACTGATCTGAGTGCTCTGTATCTTGACCGGCCGATGTTCAACCGTATTCTCGGACCACTCAAAGACATCTTGAAGAGGAACATGGAACTGTATGTGCATTTTGACACTAAAAATGAATAAATTGAATCAATTTTTCTGGAATCTCACGGGGTTTTGGGGTTTTGGGGTTTTGGGGTTTTGGGGTTTTGGGG